TAGTTCTTGGGGGGGGGGGGGTTAGCTATGATATATACCAAACCTGGAGATAGTTGAAGTCGCAGCCTGGAATGGATGCCTGAATAGGGTTTCCGGAGGCTCTGGGATCGGGTCTCTGTTTTTCAGCCGTCGTACTGAAAAGGACAATCCTGTAGGGTTTAGGGCTGCGCTGAGGACTGTACTGGGTGCGATTTAGGAATCAAGCTTTCCACTCTACGGTAGGTTTAGGGACAATACCGGGTCGAGATGAGGTCTTGGGAGGAGCTTAGGGCAGACAGTCGCTGTCTGTGCTGCAGACAGTGTCTGGTGATTGTGGCACTCGTTCAACGCTCACCTGGGTCCGCACTGCTAGCATCGGTTGAGGCAGCGCCAACGTGATCCAACCACCAAAGTCCAATGCCGCAAATCCAGTCTTTGATCGAAATCCTTCTGTTTCACCCGAGCTTAGATTCAGTTCTCCTCCTTACTTATGCGGGCTGTATCACTGTGTCCTGACTGTCTAGTGCCCTGCAGCTTCTTCAAGCTTCGGCCTGCGGCAGAAATATGCCGAGCACGGCGAGCACCAGGAGGCGGCAGCCAGAGCGACGTGCCATGGTGGACACAGACAAACGCCCCCAAACCGGATCCGAATGCGCAGGGGAGTGTGATAATTAGTGGCTGCTTTTACCTGAGAGGTTACACTGATTACGCAGGCTCTTTCAGCACCTGACATGCAATCGGCATCAATCTTTGGGAATGCTGAGTTGTCATGAGCACCTCGTGCGGTTTCTGATCGCGACGCCATTTACGATCTCACACTTTACTCTCAAATTTGACACTTCCACGGCGATGAGATGGAGTCTCCAATCATGAAGCCTTAGCCTTGGACGGAAAAACTTGGAGCCTAAGCCTACAACACCCACAACCCGAGGCATGTCTTGAAAGCCAGGGACCTCAAGCTGAAGCCGTGGAAGGACGAAGGCAGAAGGCTCATGTTCTACCAGAGGTTGCTCTAAATTTTGCGGCCAGGGCGGACTTGCTCTTGTTTAGAGTTCTGCTAAGCTTCAGAAAGGACTTAGAATCTGCAAGGCTGCGGAGTCGGGACTGCACGCGTTCCGAAATAATATTCTCTGTAGCAGCCGCAAGAGTAGAGACCTGGTCCCTGTGAGTGTGTCGGGACAAATTGAGCGTGCGTTGAGTTGGCATAGCTTGCAGTTTTGTCGGGCGCTTCTGGGCTCTAGGACAACGTTGGGGAGAAGATGCGATTGCTCAGAAACACGATGCCTCGCACTACCTCACGGATATGCTGGAGGTCTATGCCTATGCCCCATGCACTCCAATGATCCAAAGGCCGTCAACAAGATGCTTCTGAGCTGCAAATCCTTCAAAGCTTCGGCGGTTAAAGTAGCGAAAAGACACTTGCTTCGCCGCTTCGCCTGAACGAAGTGGCTGCTGCCAACGCTTGAGAACAGATATGAGTCTTCTCGGTGGTCAGCCCCAAGGGTTCTTCTTGGTGATGGCCGTGCTTGCTCTAGTCCAGCCCACCCCGAATCCTCATCCAAATTTCAATCTGATTCCCCTCTATACTCCCTCCAGCGTTAGATCGAGTTGTGGGAACAGCAGGTTTCCCGCACTCAGCGCTTCGCATCAGCATAGCTCGAATACCCTGAACATACGGCATGTCGGGACTACTCGACCGCTCTGCGACTCGAGCCTGCAACCCTTTGAATCTGAACACTCCAGAAGGTTCAGGAGCTCCCAAGCTGTTAACACACTCATGCCCTTCGGGGACCCTGCAACTTGTCACAAAAACTTACCGAGTACACCTTGTCAAGGCTTCGTGGCAGAACACCACTCGACAGTGATGAATCTGTGCACAACCTTCCATAATCCTACCGTGGGGACTGACACCGCGCTATGGCCCCGGCGAATGAGGTCGTAGCAGGTGTACAGGCAGGCTGCGAAGCATTCCTAGACTTTGGCTCTGTCCGGCGCCGGCTTGCGCTTGTGGGGCTTAGCACGAGTGTAGATGTTGGTGAAGTTTCGAACCAGCTGCTGCATTGTTTCATGGACCCATCGAGTCTCAAAGGGATGGGTCTAAGCCTTATCGTCTCATTCACGGTTTTCCATCTCTTGCCGTGTGATGTTCTTGGGTTGATGCGGCAACTTCGTACTACAGCAATCAGGTTTTCTTCACCACAAAGCATATTCCCCTACGCGCCCCATGCAACAACAAGCGCTCCTGTACTGCTCGTGCCTGCTGAGTTCTACAATGCTCTACGGCATGTATGGGTGTCTTGCGGGGGGGTTCGGGCCGGATGGCAATGCGGACCGGGTGAACCTCTTCAGACCCGAAAGTGCGGAGATGGGCGCTAGACAGGAGCCCCCGACCCGTATCGCTAAATCTAATTGTGTGTGGAGGTTGGCTGACCCGAAGCCTTGATGGTGAAAGATACCCTCAGCTCGCGCCTTCATGTCGCTATCGACAAAATACTTGAGGAGTGTCTCTGCCTCAGGATGGGGAGCAGAGGCGTAGCATGTTTGCGGTTCTCAGCCAGGTCCTCTATGTCCGCTAGTGCCATGCTGCAGCGGAGCGCATGCTCTCAATTGCTTCACAAGCTCGAAGTTGATTTGGGCTCCTAGGAACGGATTCACCTTGAAGGTAGCTCATACCAGTACTGCCAGCAACCAGCAATGACGAGTCTAAAACACAACGGACTGCACAAAGCCAGTGGCTCCTCAAGCAGCAGCAGCAGCAGCAGCAGCAGCAGCAGCAGCAGCAGCAGCAGCAACAACAACAACAACAACAACAACAAACAACAACAAACAACAACAAACAACAAACAACAACAAACAACAACAAACAACAACAAACAACAACAAACAACAACAAACAACAGCAAACAACAACAAACAACAAACAACAACAAACAACAACAACAACAACAACAAC